GAGCTCATTAACGCAAGTTGCCGACTTTATCGTCCAGGAAGATATAAATATCGTCATGTACGATCATTGCAATTTAAGCCCATTTAGCCAGGATGATTTGAGACAATTAGAAGAAATTTGTTCATATCATCCAGGACAATAATATATAATCCTGAACATCGCTCTGAAAAAGAGCTGTCCGATGTCTAACCATCCAACATATCGGCCCGGATGATCCTGCGATCGTCCTATCAAGTCATAATTGCTTTCCTTAAATGTCAGAATAATTTAAGAAAATTTCTCCTCGATCGTCCTGGATGATTTTTTATAGTCCTAGACGATCCCCTAGATGATGTCCAAAAATAAGTAATTCCTAAATAGATATGGCGGCAGATTCTTTCTATTTTGAGCCTATCATCCTGGCAGATACAAAATTATCCAGGTTGATATTTTTACATAATGACGGCTGCTTTAATGAGGATACCCTAATATGGGTTTCTTCTTTTGAACCGATCGTCCAGGCCAATATAAAATCATCCTGGACGATGTTACTAAAAATAGTAAACTTTAGCGAACAGTCAGAAATCTCCCAAGTTACAAAGCATCAGGAGCCACTCCAAATACAATAGACTCAATAAAGGAAAAAGGGTACAAATAGAATCAGACCTAGTCTACCCAATCTTGAGCTAGTTCCAAATTGCAGTCTTATCAAGTGGACCTAAAATATTAGAAGATAAGACAGTCGTTGAGAAATAAAAGTATTTGCTATCATCAAAATCATAAACCAGAAAGCATATCCGCAATAATCTCCCCCTTTTTGATGATGGCAAACATTGCTATTTGAATTTGCAAAGAAGAAAATATTTTCTCCTAATCTCCCCCTCACTAGAATAAAACTTTTAAAAATAGGGGAGATAAAAAAATTGTTTTTAATTTTTTAAAAGAGAAAAAAGATACCAATACAACAACAACAATACGTTCTTCCCTTTTGACATTATCAAAAAGAGAAGGGACACAAACAATAAGAACAAAATGATTAAAAGATAAAAATAATCCCTGATCTAGTGAACAGAACAAATATGCTTAAAATGAGAAAGATACCTCTTGATTTTATTTAAAAGCTTTGTAGAATTGTATTGACAACGCATTGCCCAGAAAAGGTTAGAAATTTAGAATTTGATAATCCAAACTATAGTCCTTTTAAAGGATTAAAAACTTTTTAATTCAATATATAATCATGAAATAAATTAGAGAAAGAAACAGTCATTTTTCAAAACTCCTTCAATAAAATATATATCTATTAGAAAATTAATGCACGAATTGTTGAATCAGGAATCATGATTTTCAAACTCAAGCATAAAAAATATCAAAGGTTTTCTTAAGCTTTTAAGAAGTATAAGAATGGTAAGCATTAAATTTGTGGGCTCATTTTATGCCTCTTGTTAATTTGAATAGCGCTTTTTGCGCATCTTTTGATTTTTGATACACTTATGTGTATATTTTTTCAATTTGGCATTTTTGCGCATCTTTTATTTTTGGCATCATTGGCCAATTTTTTTTAATATGCTACCTTTATGAAATCTTAAAAATAAAAGTAAACCCATCCTTTTGACAAAGCGAATTCTTGATTAAGAAAATTATGAGTTAGATTCAACAACTTGCAAAAGATCCCTATGCGATAAATAATATGTAGGGAGATAAAAAATTTTAGTTTCAAAGACTAATTTAAAATATGAAAAAAAAATTAAATCAAAAGTAGAATAACCTCTTTTATGAAATAGATATTGAGAGTAAAAAACTTTCCTTCCTTTAACTATTTCTAAAGAAGTCAATCACAACTTACCAAAGATTTCAAGAAAAAATAGGAAGTAGATTTTTCATTTTTAGAAAAGTGAATGTGTGTGTTGATTAGAGAAAAAAATTCATGAAAAAAGAAAAAAAAATCAAAGAATACACAAAAACAAAAACACAAAATAAAACTGAAAAATAAAATAAACAAAAACACAAAAAATAATAAAAAAATAAAACACAACACAAAAACACAAACAAGGCTTTTAACCATTATCTTTCTCTTGGTCCGATGTTCAGAAACCAGGTCTGCATAGGAGATTTTTTGCTTTTCATTTTTTCCCCAGTTTAAAATTTGCTTCGCTTTACCCTTTTCTTTTCCTGGAAGAATTCTTAAATTAGGGCACTAATTTTTTATATGTCCAGGCTTCCTATAACGAAAGCAAATAACGTCAAAAAATATTAATATCCTTACCATTTTTACCTTTATTCCTCTTTTGTTGATGTTTATGCTTTGGTGAGCTTTTTGATTTGCTTGATAAGTCATTGCATTCGTCACCAACTAAGCTATCTTTTTCCGTATCTTCAGCTTTTAGAATAATCATTTCACCTGCATCCACAAGTCTTTGACCCAAACTTTGCTCGTAGGCAATGAGTGAGCCAATCAAATTATCAATAGAATATTCATTCAAATCTTTTGATTCACAAATAGCAATTACTTTAGCATCAAACTTATCCAGTAGACAACGAAGAATTTTGTTAAATTTTTCAAAATTTAAAAATTCTTTTCCTAAAGCATGCAATGATGTTATAATTTGAATAAACCTAGTATATATGTTTAATATCGTCTCATAAGGTTTCATGGAAAATAGTTCATAATCATGCATTAACATATTTAACTTGTATTGCTTGATTTCACTAGTGACTTCGTATATGGTGTGCAGTTTATCCCAAACTTCCTTACTAATAGTACACGTGGATACTAATATAAAATCTTTAGAATTTAAAGCACATAAAAAGTAATTTAATGATTTTGCATTCAATTGAGCATTGAGTTGTTCTTCCCTATTCTATTGATTAATAGGAATATTAGTTTTAACTCAATTTATACCACGTGACGGTGATGAATAACCAATTAAAATCATATGCCACATGCGAAAATCAATTGATTGCAAGAAAGTAGTCATGCGAATTTTCCAAAAATCAAAAGTAATATTTTCAAATAAAGGTGGTCTGGTGATTGAATAACCTTCCGCAAAAATATGATTTAAAAATTAGACATGGATCAAAAATCGAAAGCTTTTACAAACTAGATTTTATTAATACTACTATGATACCACTTGAAAGTGCTCTAATACCACTTAAAAGTTTGTTAAGGATGTTTGGCCCTGTGAACTAGCCCAAGACTAATTAAAAGAGAGAGGTGAATTGGTATTTTACGAATCTTTAAACCAAAAAAAACAAATCAAAATCACCAAAAAGAAATCAACGATGCAGAAATTTAATGCAGAAGTAATAAAGGAAAGAACTCACCAGATTTATAGTGGTTCGGTAAAACCTTGACCTACGTCCACTCCTTGGAGGCACCCTCCAAGTATTACACTACAAAAGTGTCTCTCCTTTAGCCCCCACAGCTAGGCGGAGAAGCCCTTACAAAATCACTTCCATCTTCCCCGGTATGGCGGAGTCGCCGGGTCCTTTGCACCAAAGAGATCTTCTTCTTTGGTGAACTTCCCTCAAGACAAGCCTTAAATCCGATGGTATTAAGGTGCAAGCCTACCGAAGCAATCGTGTAGAATCCCCCTCCACACTCCCTTGAGTCCCCCCCTCATAAGATCTTCTCCCTCTCAGACTTCACTCGTTCCTCACTCCCTTTCAAGCTCTCTCTTCAAGTTCCCCCCAAAAGAACAAAGCTATAATGGCTGCCAAAGACACTTACCAAGTGTCATGTCATAGCTTAAATAAAAGATCTCAAAATGAGCTCATTAATGCAAGTTGCTGACTTTATCGTCCAGGACGATATAAATATCATCCTGGCCGATTAGTACAAATTAAGCTCA